TTGCTGTGGCCCTCGGGCGCCTGCCGGCACCCCAGCTCCCACTGCCCTTCCTCCTCCTCCTCCTCCGCCCCAGCGGGACCGAGCTCCGCGGTGAAGATGTTCTCATAGAGATGCTCAGGGGGCAGCTTCTCTGCAGCCCAGGGCTTGCTGGAGCCTGGCTGCCCCGATGCAAAGAGGGACTGCTGGCCCCGAGCGATGGAGGCATAGACGATGGGGCCTGTGACCTCAGGCTCCGGGAAATGAAGGAGGCTGGCAGGGGGGAGGGAAGCAGGCTGTGCCCCCCCCCGGGTGGGCTAGGTTGGGCGTCCTCAGTCCCAGGGCCCCAGTGCTGGGGCTCGGGGCCCTGTACAGAGAGCTGGGGGTCCAGGGGACAGAAGAGCCGGGGGTCTGGGGCATCTTTGCCCTGCTGCTGGCAGGCGATGGCGGCAGCCACAGCCCGGGACAGCTCCAGAGCCCGCGGGGTGCTGAAGGTGAAGGTGCCCTCACCGGAGTCACTGCGGCGGCCAGCCTCGAAGGAGAAGACAGTCTGTGGGGCCAGAGGGCAGGGTGAGGGGCTGGCACTGGCCCTGCACAGCCAGCAGCCCCAAGGAAGGAAGGTGGTACCTACCTGATCCTGACCAAACTTGCGGAGGAAGGGGTAGGGCCAGGTGAGCAGGGGCTGGCGGGACTGCGCATCCTTCAGCGTCAGGCTCTGGGGAAGGGCCGAGAGCAGGTACTGCCCGTGCAGGCCGCAGCGGGCGGCTGCATCCGTCCAGACCACCAGCACTGGGAATTCAGTCACTACGGGGGCAGAGCAAGGTGGGGGTCAGCACTGCAGCACTGAGCCGGAGCCCACCCTAGCCCTATCCACCACCCCTACACGTACAGTCCTGCCAGGAGGAGTAGAGGGAATTCTCCTCCATGGGGACAGCAGGGCTGGGCTGGGGCCTGGCGCTGCTCTCTGCCGTCTCCTTTGCACCCTGAAACAGAGGGATGTGAGCACGGCCCCAGGACTAGGGGAGTACGAGCCCCCCAGCCTGCCCACGGACCCTGAAGCCCCTGGCTCACCCGAGCCAGCAGCAGCACGAGGGGGCCCAACTGTGCTGGACCCCAGGGTACCTGGAAGGCCAGCTGGCAGAGCTGGGCAATCCACTCATCCCGCTGCTCGGCTGCCAGCACGTAGCTCTTCTCTGTGGTGTTGAGGTAGAAGGCGGCGGTGGCTTTGGGGCAGCTCTCAGTGCCTGCGGGGCCCACGGAGACACAGTCCGAGAGGCGGATGACCCGGCGGGCACAGCGCCGCAGAGAGGTCTTCTCCAGCACTGTGCCATCATCCCGCACATCAAACTTCTCCATGCGGGCCACGCCAGAGGGGCTGGCAGCAAAGAGCTGGGCTCGCATCTTCCTCCAGGTCCTCTAGGGCATGGAAAGGGCAGAGTCAGGGAAAAAAAGGGTCAGAGATGCCTGCTGCACCCTCACAGCACTGCCCTCCGTGCGGTGCCAGCAGTGCTCAGGAAGAGCTGTGGGAGCCAGGAGGGGACTTGGGGGATCCCTGCCCACAGCTGCTGTGTGCTGCAGGAGGGCACAGCCCTGGGGCTGTGGGGCAGGGCAGTCCCAAAGCTAGGTCGAGGGGGAGCCTTGCCCACAGCAAGCTCGGCCTGGCTTGCTGAATGAGTCATGCTCGCTCCCGGCTCGCTGAGCATCAGGTCCTGCTCTTTGTTCCCCGCTGCAAGTGCCGGCCTGCCACTGCCGCAGCTGAGCTCTTGAGCTGTTCTCGGGACAGACTCCGATGCAAATTAAAGCCATTTTGAGCTGCTGAGGCTCCTGCTGGCAGCCTCACATCTGCCGAGCAGGGCCAAGCCCTGCAGTGCGCAGCCCGCTTCCTCCCAGGGGAGTCTCTGTGGCACCAGCACCTTCCCAGCTCGTCATGGGATAGAGGGGGCGCGTGCCCCCACGTACCTCAAAAGCACAGCAGAGCCTCCGCCCTGATGCAGCCAAGCACCCAAAATATGCACCACTGCCAGCCCGCCTGCCTCCTACACACAGGGCACTGGCCCCGTTGCACCCAGTCTGCCTACTTGGGCTCCAGGACTTGGCCCTTACTCAGCGGGGAGCTTGGAGCGTGATCGTAGCCCCTCATATGCACTGAGCCCCCCCGCAGGAGCACAGCCACCCCACTGTAGCAGGGGGGATGCTGTTGAGGCAAGGCCAGCGCCAGCAGGACCTACTTCACCACCACTCATCTCACTGGAGCTGGCTTGACCCTGCGGGGACTCTCACCGTGTCACCCATACTGTGCCCAGAGGGCTGTGGCACTGGGTGGCCACCCCGAGGGCCCAGGGCAGTAGGCTGAGCGGTGAGGGGTGCCCCACGGATGGCAGTGGCCCCCCAGGGCCAGGCTGACAGAGGGCTGGGCACAGAGGCGCTTCCCACGTGCTACCTAGGTACCGCACTCCCCCACACACACGCCAGAGCTGCACCTCATTAATACCCATTTATTGTTCCATGGCGAACCACACGGTGACCAAGCGAGAAGAGGGACCCGGTGCACAGGGGCGAGCTTGAGCAGGTGCCTGCACGGATGAGTCCCCTGGGCTGCAGGGAGAGCCTTGCTCTGCGGGCCGTGGAGCCCAGAGCCCCCCGGGGCGGCTCCAAGGGGTCTGGCTCCAGCCACTCCTTGCCAGGCTGCCGAGGGCCCAACCCCAGGCCTGGCATCAAGACAGATCAGGGCAAACCCTGTACCCAGCCTTGAACCCACCCTTTACCTTTCCAAATTTGCAGTGCTGCACATAGAGGATCCCATCCTTCACCGGTCTCTCCATGGGCCCAGAGTCGCCCTGGCAGCCAGCGCAAGGACCGAGGGACTTGAACTATGAGCAGCGGAGAAAATGTGACTGCTACAGCCAAAGCAACTGCACGGGGCAGACTTCCTTCTCTCGGTGACTTCCCCTTTTTGGTGTGTGGGATGAGGAGCAGAGGCTGGGCCACAGGAGGTGTCCGTCTGTCCGCCCTCCCCCTTGCAGAAGGGCAGTGGGGCAGAACGGGTGCAGGCAGAGCACAGGAAGCACTGCAGGGACCGCCCGACACGAGCACAGCAAACTCCACCTCACCCCATCTGCAGCGGAGCGTGTTTGGGGTACATGGGAACAGCCACCAACTGAGGATGCACAAAATCAGGTAAGGGGGATGCAGCCCTGGAGGAATTGAGGGGCTTTGCTGAGGAGCGACGTAAGAGCCTGGCCATGCCACTGCAGGGGGCTGGCAGGGACAGCAGGCAGCTGCCCACAGATCAGTCGCCCCACCTGGGGCCTTCTCCTTCCCTTGGGCACTGCTACCTGCTTGCCCAACACACCACTGATGTAACAGGCTGTTGCAGCACAGCTCCACAGTTTCCTCTGAGGCAGGAGCTTCGTCAGGGTGAGCCGTCAACACCCCCGGCGGCCAAATGCCTGGAAAAGGGGCCACAGCAACACAGGACAGGGTGCCCTGGGCTTGATAAGGGCGAGGGCAGCTGCGATGCTGCCCCACTGAAAGGGAACCAAGGCCTGTGGGGTGGGGGAAGCACTGGGCAACATGCTCCCCAGGCTAGAAGTCCATAGAGCTGTGGGCCAGGTAGTCCTTGCGGCCAATGTTGCTGACTTGCTTGGTCTGCATCGCCTCCAGCTTGGGGCAGTCGGTGATGCGATGGCCCAGGCCGCCACAGAAGGCGCAGCCCCGCTCATCTGCAATGGGAGGGATGAGGTCAGGGGGAGCTGTGCCACACCAGGGGAGCAGCCTCCCCACCCCAGAAGCAGAGGTGCTATGCCAGCATTGCCACATGGCCAGGCAACAACAGCCCTGAGGGGGGCAGGAACCGCCCTGGGAGCCAGAGGGCAGGTGGGGGGGGAAAGCCCTGTCTGCAGCCCAGGGCAGGAGGTTCCGGTGGAACCCAGGGTCTCTCACCTCCGATGTCCAGCATGGTCTCGTCCCCACAGTGCAGCACCTGGAGCACAGGTGGCACCTTCTGCTTCGCCTCCAGGAGCAGAGCCTTCAGGTCCATCAGCACCGACTCATCTGGGGCAAAGACACGGGGCAGAGAGATGGGTCAGACACAGCCCAAGCAGGTTGGGGGAGACACAGCCCCACGCCACCATTTCCCCTCCACGAGCCATCACGACTCATCCCTGCTCGTTCAGGATCCCCCTGCCCTTGCCAAGGCAGCTCCATCTCCCAGCTGCCTCCCACAGCCACAGCTCCCCCGCAGGCAGCCCCCAGCTGTTTCTCACCGCAGGCCTTGTTGATGAAGGTGGTGGCAATGCCAGTGTTGCCCGAACGGCCTGTACGCCCAATACGGTGAACTGCGGAGAAAAAGAACAGGATCAGGCCTGAGCAAGTGCAACATGACAGACCACCCCTGCCCCCAGGCACTGCAGAGACAAGTGCAGAGCCTTGCTGGCCTGCACCCACCCTGCCAGGCCCTCGCTGGTGCCCCCCAGGGCCCAGTCCCCACCGTAGTTCTCAATCTCCTCCGGCATGTCGTAGTTGATGACGTGCTGGATGGCTGGGAAGTCCAGGCCCTTGGAAGCGACATCAGTGGCAACCAGGACATCCTTCTTCCCATCCCGGAAGGCCTCGATGGCTTTTGTCCGTTCCTCCTGATCTGCAGAGGCCCAGCAGAAAAGATCACCATGGGCAGAGCTCCCAGTCCTGCATCTTGCAGCAACTAGTATGGCCTCAGAGCCAAGGATTGTTCAAGTAGAGGCTCCCCCAGTGAGAGAGCCTACACAGCCCAACCTGCCACAGCCCTTCCTCACACCATCACAAACTGCTGCCACACTAGGACCTCCTGTGGCCACATACCACCTTGAAAGAGCCACACCACAGCTCAGGCCTCCCTGACACCCTCACTGACCTTTCCCTCCGTGGATGGCCACAGCTTCCACACCCTTGAGCAGCAGGTACTCATGGATTGCATCAACATCCGCCTTTTTCTCTGCAAAGATCAGCACCTGCCACAGCACAGGCACTATGTAAGACCCTTTGTGTGTGTGGACAGGCACTGCTGGCACCAGCACAACCCCTGGGAAACCCATTCCCCTCTTGCTGAGCAGAGCACACAGCAGCCCTGGGCCCAGGACCTGCTCATACGCAGAGCACAGCTCACTCACACACTTGTCCCACACGCAGCAGAGCCCTGCAGCATCACAGCCATGTCCCCACCCATGCGCCGGGCTGCAGCGTGCCCGCGCCACCCCCAGCCGCGCTGCCAGAGCACAGTACTCACAGGCGGGGGTGTCTTCTGCAGGCACTCCAGGAGGTACACCATCTTGGCCTCCTCTTTCACGTACTCCACTTCCTAGGAACAAGGACAAAGGTGAGTCAGGCACACAACAGAGAAATCGTTGTTGCTTGGTAATCCTTAATCTCTTGGGAAGGAATGCACAAACCCCAGCTCCCTGACAAGGGCCACATCAAGTGCCCTCATGAACAGTGCTGGCCTCCCGCACAGGCAAGCTCCCAGCTACTTCACCTGCACAACATCCAGGCTGGCAGCACCCGCTCGCCCAACATTAATGGTGATGGGCTTCACCAGGGCACTCTTGGCAAAGTTCTGGATCTTCTTGGGCATCGTGGCACTGAAGAGGAGGGTCTGGCGCTGGCCCTGTACAGGAAATACAGTGTCGGTAAGGATTTAGCTTTCACCCAACCAGGCAGGTGCAGGGAATGAGCTTCAGAGTGCTCATACCATGCCAGCTCAGTACCTTGAAGTAGGAGAAAATGGTACGAATGTCCCCCTCAAAGCCCATATCAATCATCCTGTCAGCCTCGTCCAAGGCCAGGTAGCGGCAGATGTCCAGGCTCACCATCTTCTTCTGCAGCAGGTCCATCAGGCGGCCAGGGGTTGCCACCATCATGTGTACACCACTGTGGGATGAGAGGTGGCCATGGTCAGGCACTCAGATTCCTGCCCTACGCAGTGACACATCAGGAAGGTAGCACCTGCTTGGCACATCACCGTTGCCCCCACACCCTCCTGAAGCCAAATGGCCAGGGTGTCACTCCTTAGTCCCCTGCCAGAACACAGAGCACAGCTCCAGCCCCACAAAGCCACCCCAGAAGGTCTTACTGTTTGATTGTCTCCATCTGCTCCTTAACAGACATGCCCCCAATGCAGAGGGCACAGCGCAGCGGGGGCAGGCCATCCTCCTGCAGCAGGCGACAGTAGTACTCGATGATGCCGTGGGTCTGCCGGGCCAGCTCCCGCTGCAGAGACAAAACTTACTTATTCTTACATCCCCGTGCAGGGAGGATCTGGGATTGCCACTGAGAATCAAAGCTTCCTCCTGCACATTACTGTACCCCTGACACTCACTGAGGGACAGATGATGAGTCCGTAGGGTCCCTCTCGCTTGAAAAATGGCAGCCTCTTCTCCTGCTCCAGGCAGAACATGATCACTGGGAGGGTGAACACCAAGGTCTTCCCAGAGCCAGTGAACGCAATGCCAATCATGTCCCTTCCTGAGAGGCTGGCAGAGAAATAGGGCCAATGGTGAGGAGGAGCACCACAAAACAGCTCAGACCTCCGGGGCTGAGCAAGGGGATGGGGCACATCAATCACCAGGGAAGAGCACCTGGTTCACACCACTGTAGGGAGCAACCACCCCCACTCTGGGAGAGGAACAGAGCACTCACATCGTGGGGATGCCTTGGATCTGTATGGGTGTTGGCTGCTGGATTCCTTTTTTCTTCAGGCCCCTCAGGATAGCTGTCAGAGAACAAGGGAACACATTCACAACCTGAAATCATCTCCCTCTTTTCCTCCCACTCATGGCCCAGCAGCAGCTCTTCCACCAGTGACAAACACCCCTTGGGCCAGCAGTTAGGCGACAAAAACATAGTTGGGAATTTAAGCTGCAACCCCAGTAATACTAAGCGTTAAAAGATTCAACAGCTTCACTCACTGACATGCGCTTCCCAGAAAAACTGCCCCGTGCCCTTCCAGGCTCTTCTCCTGGCCCACCTGCTGGAAACTTCATCTCCTTGAAGCTCTTGATGGGGGGTGGGATGCCTTCCCCCTCCACCAGGATGTGGTACTTCTTGCGCACGCGATCGTGCCGTGCCTCTGACATGCCCAGGATGTAACGAGGTGCTCTCCAGCTGCGAAGGCAACAGAGAAACGTGGTGCAGAATGAGGCTGAGGCTCCAGAGCCAGCAGCCCCAACGCAGGCCATGGGGAAGTCCCTGTCAGGCTCTGATATCCCCCCAGGGAAAACAGGTAATCCTAAGGGGCTTCGTGGTGCGAGCACAGGAACAGATTCAAGCCAGTTTCATGCATTAAACATTTCCTTAAAGTCTGAGGAAGAAATCCCAAGCTAACAGACAAGAACAGTCTATGGATGGTGGATGGAACATAACAAAATCTTCTGGGCATGTCTCAATCATCTCTCTGACACTGCCTCCAGCAGCGTTGGCTCTGTGGCCTCCCCATCTCCTTCTCCAGCTTAATCACCTCCAAGATCTGAAGAGTCACCTCAGGTCTCCAAGTTTAATGTAAACATACTCTAGTAAATCTTAACTACATATAAAATGACATCCAGGGTGACTCAACAGCCTTCAGTCTTACATGCAGCTGGAAGAAGCCAAGCAGTGGAGCAAGAGAGAAGCCAGTGGCCAAGAAGCAGAGCTCCTCCTGCGAGGCTGCAGGGCTTCTAGTTCTCTTCAGCCATGAGGAAGATAACCTCTGTACTGTGAAACGCACCTGGTTTTAATTGGATCATCGTAGGTGATGCCCTTTGCCATCTCCTTCACCGACATCAAAGCTGCAAGAACAAAGCTGATGAGGTCAGTGCAAACTTTCCACGTCTAGATAGAAATTTGGGAGACCATGCATGGAGATGGAAGGGGGAAAGCAGCACCTCTGACAGCCCCTCTAGGTACAGGGGAACCAAATGCTGCAGCCTTCCGTGCCTAGGGGCCTGCCACAGCAACGTCTCAGCTAACCTCATACTTACTGAAGGATCCCATCGTGATCTGTCCCACCCTGGCTGTGAACACCCCTCAGCATTTACAAGGCTGCTCTAGAAGCAGAACTGAGACACGGAGCTCCCATCACTCACCTCGGCCTTCTGCCACGCTCTCCAGGATCTTCTCTTCCTCCTTCAGCTGCTTCTCCTTGGCTGACTCCTTCCGAGCTGAGGGGAGAGTCAGGGAAACAGTGAGAAGGTTTCATTGCCCACTGAAAGCCTGGCCCTACCGCCAGCCGCTCCCCTACCTTCTGCCTTCTCTTTGAGGTGCTGGTGCTGGTCCAGGAGGCTGATGTTGGACTGCGGCCCCAGGGGGATATCATCCTCGTCACCCCGCTGCTCGCTCCCGCTGTCCCGCTGCTCCTCCTCCGACACCACCTTCCGCCGCATCTGCAGCAGCTTCTGCAGCTGGAAGGAGCCAGGAGTGAGCGGCCCCGCGACGGGAGAGAGGCTCAGAGCCCTCCCCCGGCAGCGCCGGGCCCCGTTATCCCGTTACCATCTGCTGCTTGCGCTGCTTGACGGGCACGTAGGGCACATAGTCGTCATCTTCCTCCCCGGACAGGTCGGACGTCACCGCCGCCTCCTCCCGCTGCCTCTGCGGGGAGACGCGAGGTGAGGCCGGCCCGGGACGGTACC